CTCGGTCACATAAACGGCTCCTTCCACAGCCACAGGTCTTTATCGGGCTGCCCGATAGCCAGCCACGCCGTGAAGAAACCGAAACCGGAGGATAACATGAGCATGTACAGCAGAGGAATCACCGGTGAGGATCGAGTTACCTGTGATGTCGCCTCCGGCTGTCAATACTTAACGATCGAAGAATAATATTGTCAGAGTTACGCTGTGCGTGAGACCAATCGTTACGAAGAAGAATAACGATCGAATTTTGTCTAAAGAGTATTCGTAAAAAATTCTCCTCGCGTGCAGCTGTCAAAATTGAAACCGCGAGATGCGTTTTTCTATCAAAACGCGCGGTAGAGAGAGAGAGAGAGAGAGAGAGAGAGAGAGAGAGAGAGAGAGAGAGAGAGAGAGAGAGAAGAGAGAGAGAGAGAGAGAGAGAGAGAGAGAGAGAGAGAAGAAATGCTACGAAGTAGATAAGACGGTTTAAGTTCGCTCTCTGTTCTTTTCTATGCTTGCGCATCGCGCTCGTTTGGGATTTATCATCATTTATTTCTTTTACTTCAGAGTTTATATGAAAAAAGTATTCATAAATTAGTCGACACCTAGACGAGCGCGATGCTAAAACATACGGAATTATGTATCTTCCTTTGTAAACTTGTGCATATCAAACCTTGTACTTAATTCCATGCTATGCCATACTCTGCTCTTCACGCAATGATGTGCTGTCATACCAATAAGAATAATCTCCTTCCCTATCCTTCCGTTTTTCTCTTAATCATCAAAGAGCTCGTTTACTTTTATTTCTCCTTTTTAAATATTTCTTTTTCCGTTTCGACCCCTTTCTTTTTCTCAGTAATAAATGTTCCAGGTTTGCGAACAAATATCGCAACTGATTAGATACGAAACGGTGAAAGGATGCCACAAATAGCTTATAAAAGAGAAAAAAAGAAGAAACAGAAGCAACAGAATTGAATATGATGGCGTTAATTTATATCTCTTTTTTTTTCCTCCCTTTCGATTCGGTCCCGCGCAGGAAACCTCTTCCTTCGTTATGTACAAGACAGAAATGTAAAATCGAAAAAAAAAAAAAAAACAAACAACCGTATGTCTTAATGATGGAAAATAATATATTCTGATTTATTCTGGGATCAGCTCCTTTCATGTTGAGCTTGGAGCACGGTTACTTTTGAAGGTAAGGGACTGACGTATTCGCCACTTGTTTCCTATGTGTTTTCGATGTTACATTACAGAATTTCCACACACCAGTATTTTTACTTTTACGTGATGACGTCCGAGTGTTGGCAATATCTGTGAATCGTACGTTTGGCACAGTAAGCAACCGTAAGCTTCTTTTTGCTCATTCACGTGCGACAAAATGTCGCGCCGCGTACCGACGCCAGCACTCGGTGTCCTCCGTTTTTTTTTCTTCTATCTGGTATGATGGCACCTCACGCTAATTACCCTCAAAACACCCCGATATAGTCCCGATCATACCATTTCCACGGCACTCCTGTCAGGTTCGTGCGTCTCTTACCGAGTCGGAGCACACGCTTGATCGAATGAGCCTCAAAGTGCCTCTCGCTTTTCTGCCGAGATGCGTTTATCACTTTGGCACGAACCATATGCAGAAGAAACCGTACCGTCCCATTATCTCGAGATAAGCTATAATGCAGTGACTTGGGACGAGCGAAGTTAGAGAAAAAATAATATATTACATTAGAATATCATCGAAAAAATTATTTTATTCAGCTCTGCATAATTGTAACGTTTCACTAAACCGCTTCGCCTGAGTCGCTGTCTGAACCGATCCTTAACGTAAATTTTAAATGCTCGCTATATTTCCACTTGTACCGCATAAATCCCGTAAATCCTTGTTCAAATTTTTCGATCTAACGCTTTCCGATCGTGAATAAAAAAAGAAAAGAAAAGAAAAAAAGTAAGACCCGTCAAAACGCTTGTGTATTTAAATTCGTACGAACTTCCGTCGGGAATTCAAGTTGTAACTATTCAGTTTCCAGTAGTTTTTCCATTTGTTACGTATCACATATTAGGGCCGCATTTCGCATTTAGACGAAAGGGCGTACGAATCGCGCCGTGCACGCTTGATTGCGGATGAAACCGATTCTCTGGAAATCGGGAAATATACAAATATATGATATAATCTCTCTTTCAACCGTATAACGGACATTCGATCAAACTGGACCGTGTCTGTCCTGTCTCCAGGGTTGGAAGCCGGTGGTCCGGCTCACGGGGGTGCGGTAGGCACGGGTCAGGGTAACTCGAGCGGTAGCGGGACCGCCGGTGTCCAGAGCGAGGATCTCTACACACTGGAGGCTGAAATCACCGAGCTCCAGAGAGAGAACGCCCGGGTCGAGTCGCAGGTCTTGCGCTTGCGCTCGGATATCACCGCCATGGAGAATCAGCTCAAGCATGGAGAAAAGGTCAGTATTTGCTCAGTCGGTAGTATACCGTGTGTCGAATAATTAAATAACAAACAATTGCATATGTAAAAATAGAAACTTTGTTATTTTTAGACGAATCTTCGTGCTTTTAAGCTAATCGCGTTGGCCTTATCGCAATTGCAAAATCCAATTTTATTTTTAAAGCTAAATTATTACTCAATTCTAATATCATTCTAAGATAATATATATCATGTTGTATGTTGTTTAAATAATTTTTTTTCATGATATTATTTTATAGAAAATTTATTACATAAAAAATAATACATTAATAGTAAATTAATTAATTTAACTAATTTTTTTATTAACCGTATGCTGGTACATATTATGAAAGTGAACTAATCGGTAGTTGATCAACCTTCCAGCAAACAAACTAACGTTACAAAAATTTTTTTAATATTACGATTTTCTAACTTAAAAGTACAATAAAAGCAAATAGAAGAGCTCGAGTAGGCACTGTTCAAAATGCATTAAAATAACGACAAATAACGTCAGCTTGTTTACTGGATTATTTCGCACATTAAAAAGAATTTGGTAATATTTTATTTTAAATTTTGCTAGCAGAATAATTTATCAGTTCTATGATGGCTCTAGGTGCGTACCGAATTACGCATGAAGCGCATGATGCATAATTTGTTCTTGTTGTTCAACAAATAATAAAAAACGATAAAATCATGCGCTTCATGCATAACTCGGAACATACCCTCTGTGGTGGCTCTAGAATAATGTTTTCACAGACATCTTGCGCGCCTAGACTGACAAAAGCACCCTGTCATTTCTTTTTGCAGGAAACGACAACGATAACTCAACGTAACAATAATTTGACCGAGTACTATCAGTCGCTACGCGACAACATGATCACTCTGCTGGAGCAAGTGCGAATACCGAACGCCCCGGGCGGACCGCAGGAGAAAATAGGCCATGAGAACTTCGATAGTTACCTGACGAAGTTGCAGACTCTGTGCACCGCCGACGGCTACTGCGCCGACGAGAGCAACCGGCCGATTTACGAGACGGTGAAGACCGCCCTGCAGGACTTCACGGTCCTGCCGACACCCATCTGAGACCATCCTTAAAGATCGACGATCTGGTACTGAGCGTCGCTCTCGGGACTCGCGCGACCAAGCGATCCGGCGTATTCGTGACGCGGATCGCAAGTCGTTCCGCTCTCGTCCACTGGATACTACGAGTGAACGGAACGGTGCGAGAGAACGGTGCCCAGTTCCCATGAAAATGTAGACACATATAAATCGACACGAGGACGCACGAAAGGGAACTGCGTCGATCGTGACTGAGCACCGCGGATCGGCCTATCGACCTAGGAGAAACCCGGCTTCGTGACGCGTGTGACTCATCCGGATATTGTGGAGAATCCGGCCGTGCATCACACACGTATCTACATGTGTACTTACATCGCTCGCGTGAATTTCGGACTACGTCACTTGGCGACGTCAACCTTGCGATCATTGCACATGCGATCGTCGGGTGACGATTGTCGGTGAAAGTCGTCGTGGCCGGTCGAGCATGCCGACCGGCTCGTAGGCTTGCGCTTAGGAAACGCTATAACGGCATCTAACCACCGTACCGGCGTAATGACGACTCCATCGGGGCAATCGAACTAAATTAAACAGACTATTGTTTACGGGGCAACGTTGGCCCCCGTAGCGATATATCTTTTGTACATAACGATGTCTGCGTCAAGTATCATGATCAACAGCGGCCGTTATCGCCGCTTATGTACATACACAACGGGAGAAATTGCGTTTATATATTATTCGACAGATTGATGGTTAAGTCGCTCTATAAGTCGTGTAAAAATGATTAATTTAGCTGTATATCGGATTCTTGCCACATAACACGCTGTGTAATTGTTATTACCGTTTAAGCGACAGGTCAGCGCGCAACTTTACGGAGGACCGGTGCGCGTCCATCAATGACGTTTCTCTGCTGATGAAAATCCAAAAGCTACGCATAAACCAATCTATCGACTAACTATTTACCAGCTAGTCTCACTATTATTATTATTATTATTATTATTATTATTATCATTATCATTATCTCATCATTCTGATTATTATTATTACTATTACTGTAACTATTACAACCAGCCAGATCGTTTTTAGCGACTAATTCAATCGTCATTATTGCTACCATTACTCTTACTACTGTCGATAAAATATAGTCACGAAGTATACCAACATATTTATATAATATTATCGAATCTATAAGAAAGAAAAGTGCGATGCGTGTTGTCCATAGACTGTACATAGTCACAGAGATATACAATTATTATAAGGACAAAAATCGCTGGCGATAATGAGCTGCGATTTTGATGGGACGACGAAAGAGAGAGTGAGAGGGAGGGAGAGCCAGAGAGTGAGAAAGAGAGGAAAGGGGAAGGGGAGGAAAGGAAAGAATAATGCTCACGAGGTCATATATGGCCTCTTCATTAACAGCTGTCAATCGTAAGTCCGATGTTCTGTCGAATTTATGCTTGTTCGAGGCAAGTGATCAAGTCTCGATCGTTTCATCAAGGACACAAAGAAGGATCGAGCTTCGCGTTCCTTCATGATACGTCGCGACCAATTCGGTCGGAGGATATTCATTCGTATGTGTTATAATTTCGGAATGTGTCACATTCTCTCTCCTGTATATTCATGATCACCTATGACCGCGTCGTGAGACACGTGTACATTTGTATCGGCGCGGTTATTATTGTTTTCGTTGATATATTGCGTTTCTATTTATTTTATACATTTGTTTTGCTGCTGGAACGAGAAATGCGAGGAATTTGTAAATATCGAAAAACCAGCTCTAAATCGTAAGAGTCATCGCTTCTCGTTGGAGCTGTATGAGTGTTATTATTACTAGAGGACATGCCAGAATTTTGGTTTTCGCTGGTTGACCTTTTACACCTACGTGTAAATCGATCGATCGACATGCAAGAAATTTTTATTATTTTAACAATATGACGCCTGAAAACAAAATGAAAACATATAATTCAACTATGAATTTATTAAAATATAAATATAGATATAATTAAAAGGAAGAATTTGTTAATGAGGTGCTTATAGATCATTATGTATCATAAAATTGATGTATTCATTACATTTAATATTAATTGTACTGCCAAGAAAAACGTTCTCAATATATCATAAATGTTTAAATAATTTAATTTTAACGTTCTCTTATTTTCTCTCTTCAAATTATAATTATATATGAATTGGAAACGTCAAGATATTATAAAATCATAAGATATGGATCATCGTAAAATAGCAAACATGTCGATCGTACAATCAGTGATTTTGCCGATATAAAGTTGCATTATGTTAAAATTATATTATGTTCGCTACTATGTGTATCAGATAATGTATATAAAGAGAAGGGAAAATTAATTGTTTGTCTGAGATACTGATGAGAGATGGAAGAAGCCGCGTGCAGAAGAAGTAAATATACTTTAACCAACCACCGTGTAGTGAGAGTAATAACAAATTACAGATAGCGATAGTCGACCGACAATTACGAATAATCTCGACGTTATAATTATTCTTGTCACTATCATTGTCATTATAATTACATCGTCACTGTCGTACTAAAATATTTCTTTTCTTATTTCGAGTTAGCGCAATTGGCATGTAAAAAAAGGAGATAAGAATGAGAGTGAAAAACAGATAACCAACAATCAACAGTTACATTTTGACTTTGCAACAGAATATCTAACTTCAATTGCGTCGCAATTAATATTAAGTCTGCAATATTCATTATGGTACATCATTATCATCTACTAGTTTTGAGTACTATTGTTATTATTGCTATTATTATCAATATTATTTTATTATTATTATTACTATCAATTTATTATCACTATTATCGTTACGTTTTCGTCACTATTACGATTATGATTGTTGCCGTTAATAAAAATCTACAGGTATATAAGTTCAATAACATGCTTTAAGTAAGTATAAATGTTACTCCGATTGAATAAAGGGTATTTATCGATGAATACTAATTATTTCTCCTTTCACATTGTATTTATATGAAATAATTTTAATGCCTATTCATAATATTCATAAGAGGCACGATGTTATATGATTTACGAGATAGAAAAAGAAGAGGTAATTTAAAAACGGAAGTGGCTCTATCAGAGCTTTATAATTTTATAACTTTATATACTGATGTTACGTTAAATGGAAGATAATGTAAGCAAGATAGATAAATGATACGCGATCTTCTACACGATATGACATTTAGTAGGAAATTGAGAAAACAATGATATAAAAGGAGGACATATGAGAACAAGAGAACAATAGGAAGAAACTTGCCGTAGAAAAATTTCGTATTTTGTATTTGCATTTTCGATATATAAAAAAGTCTTATTTTACAAGCATCGCCATTGCATTCGACAGTGTTGCATCATAATTATATCTACACGTATGTATATGTATAACATGTATATCACAATAAAATGGACGTGCGAACGGCTTTCGCATGAATGTGCTGTGCGCGCGTGTGCGTATTTAAAGAGACAGACACTGAGATATGGCAGAAGATCATTCTTCAGTAAATTACGCGCAGCTGAGTTTGCAACGCGCTAAATGCTCTATTACTGTGATTCCTCTCCGAATCATCGTGGGACGCGAACCTCTATTCGAACGCGCATTGCGATCCCGACAGTGTCCCGGAGTGAGAAAATCTATCGCGAACATTTCCCATCGTATATATATAAAAAGTCACGTGGACTTAATAGTGAATAGTTGAGCTGCTTATTTCGAAAGTGACGTGGGTCAAATATTGGAACACGATGAATTTTAAATATTATATTATATTATGTGTAGGGGGATAAATCGATGCGATTTACTTATTTTACGTGATTCCGTCAATTTTTTTCACGTCACTTCCGAAATAACTCGCGATCATATAATGAGAGACGAATTAAAAATACATATTCTAGAAAACACGTGTTTGCTCCGTCAATTGACTTTAAGAGACCACCGTTTCTGCAGATCGGCGTCAATCAGGCGCGACTGGAATCGTTAAATTAAATGAACAGTCGACCGCAAGCTGAACGAAACATCTGACTGTCAAAAGTCGTTACTTCATTCTCGCGGTTACAAAACGGCCGAGCAATAGCGCAGTTGATAGAAATCGCGGTCGCTATGACATAATTCATCGCAGATAGATTCTCATTGAGACGCGATTATTGGATTACATTGAAAGATACGATATGTATAGACCTGTATGTTTGCAATTGTGTACTGTGTGTCAGTACGTCGTTACGTATCACCTTCGCGTGTTCTTTATTCATTTTTTAAGATGAACGCGATCCCATCTAACTTTCGAGAAATAATAAAGCGAAGTTTGGATTCGTGATATAATTTGAAAGTAACCGCAAATCTTATGGCCGCATTGAATAAACTCGGATATCGCCATAATTAAAACGGAGTCTGTTCAATGATTCTGTTTTTTTTTTTTTGGATCGTAATAGGAAATACAGTAACGTAGTTACAAAGGAAGAATTAATCGTTCTAAGCACTGAACGATGTCAGTGCCATCAGGGTTCGCAGTATGTAATAGATAATAATCTAAGCAATATTGATATCTGAGGCATCGCGAAGAGATTTTCTCTCAATTCTTGATCGTGGAAACATTGAGCGTTTTTTGAATGGTTCAACTTTCTCTCCTCTTCACATCTTGCACATCTTATAGCTATACGTATACGTTATGCATCTCATAACGACAAGAGCAAACAACGGAATTGTCGTATGATCGTATTATTAGCAGTCCACAGACGTGATCGCTCTTCGCAATTGACAACGATGTACGTCGATTCTCCATTCACGTCGTAGACCTGCGTATTCATTGGTCTCTATTTTCAACACTCTAATCTCACCTGGAACAAAAATTAATTCGTTCAAGAGATTAGCCCTTTTCTTACAAATTTAAAAGTACTCTGTCGTATTTAATTAAAGATTTTATTATTATAATTTTTTGCACAATCGAGTATAATCAGTATTGTGGTTACAAAATAAAAATGAATAATTAACTCGTAACAAAAACACGTATTTTTTGTTCCCACTAAAAGAATATGTAGGAACCACTGAAGTTTTTGTTATTTTGTTGAATTTTTGAAACTGAATTATGTGTGTATTTTTAAGTTCCATCAATGTAAGATTGATTTCAATCCTAATTCAATTTACTCTAATCTTTGTCTTTTTTTAATTCCAAAAATTCTAAGAATTCTTAGAATTAGAAAAAATTAAACAGTAAGTTAAACCGAGATTAAAGTTAATTTTATATTGATAAACCTGGGCCATAATCTATGATATATGATTATTTTTAAAAGGCATAAATAAAATATTAGTAGTAGAATTGATCACTCCTAATCTAAATATAAATACACGTTGAAAATTTTTTTCAAAAAATATTGTCTTTTAAAATTATTCTTAAAATCACCGAGATCTAAATATTCTACTACAGTTCTGGCAACCTGCGAGTGACTCTATGTAGAATGTTCGCGAAATCTAATATCGTTATAAGATGATTGCTGATGAAGATTCCAAAGAGAATCGAAACGTTCAAGAATTCAAATAAAGATAATTCCAACACATCATATGGATTGACAAATTTACTTTGTTAAAAATTTATTACGCACCTCCGCTCGCGTTCGACTCTTATTAGCCCAATTGTAGATTATATTTTTGTGATTCTAAATATTCTAGTTATGGATCAAATAAAATACGAGATACTTGTAACATAAAATAAGTGATTAATCAATTTTACTAATTCCGAAGAAAAGAAATGTATTAAATAAAGATATATAATAACGCTTTTTTTTTACTGCAAGATAACATTGGTTATCCATGTTTCAAGACGTGGATGCAACCTAAAGGATTTACGAGTATTTTTACCTCGCGTATGGTGGTGGCGGTGTTAGCGTTGGTGAGACGATACTGATAGTCGTCGGAATAATTTGTCCTGAGGATAACGGAGGCGTGCTGCCATT